ATTTCATGTCATTAGCACCTCTAGTAATATATTTACTGAGAAAAATGGTGACGTGTTCGATACTTATTTTATCCGCTGTAATTCTAATTAAAGAGCGTATTGTCTCAGTCTTAGGATGAAAGCTCTCATGTCTCCTCAGGTAGTGACAGGCAGAGTTTGGACAGTGGGTACTGTCAGAGGGACAGCATGAGACTGGAGGACAACTCTTACAACGGGCCCTTCTGTGGTCGAGCTGTGGTCCACACTGACTTCACGCCCAGCCCCTAYGACGTGGAGTCGCTCAAACTCCAGGTGAGTCTTCTGTCGTCTCTGCCTGTCACTTGACATTTGACCTCAGCTGCTGCCTCGTCCTCCTAAGTTCAAAGTCTTTGTCCCGTCCACTGTCTCTTCCACAGAAAGGAGACATCATCTACATCATCGACAAGCCTCCAGTGGGCACCTGGACCGGTAAGCTCAACAACAAGGTGGGCTCCTTCAAGTTCATCTACGTCAACATCCTACCCGACGAGAGCCCTGTTGCCAGGAGGAGGCGCTGCAACAGCAAGAACCATCAATCCGAGTCCAAGCCCAAAACCCTGGAGGAGGTCCTGGACAGCATCGGCCTGACGGTGAGACGAACAGAAAGCTGAGAGGTCATTGAACTCACAGTCACCTTCCTCCAAATCAACCAGTAAAAACGTTTCCTCTCTTGTTTCAGGAGCTGAGCTCCTTGCTGTCCATGCACGGGTTCCAGAGCCTGGAGGACTTCACGGGACTGAAGGAGTCTCACCTGAACGAGCTGAACATCACAGACCCAGAGCAGCGCTCCAAGATCCTGAACGCCTCGGAGCTGCTCAGAGACTGTAGGTCTATGAAAACAAACTAACTTTGTGTCCAAATGTGGAGAAACAAAATTAAAGCTCTTCAGGTTTTAATGATTAAATATCCTGACGCTGGCGTCTGAATCTACATCGGCTACATATCTGTGATCATTTGAACCTCATAATCAGATAATTAAATTTTATTGGAAAACGAGCAACAGTTCTTTTAAAAAACTTCCTATTTTACAAAAAAATTGTACTTAAAAGTGCTTTTCAAAAAATATATTAGACAACATAGTGAGGCTCAAAACTCACTAAAAGCATTTTATTTTAATTTAATTCCTATATATAACTCATCTGTATTCGATCAATCGTCAAAATTTGRTGGAGAAAAGCAACAAATACAAAAACAGCCTAATACATCCTAATTTTAAAGTACCTGTAACCTACGTGTCCACATACAAAATATAAAAAACATCTTTATATTTAAGGAACTTGGAATATTACAGGATTTTTTTCCATTTTGTCCCATAACTGGCCTGTTTTCTTTGCCTATGAACTTTGCTCAAAGTAAAACAGGAAGTGACATCAAAGGGTAACATTTTAAGAAATAAAACTTTCTGTTCTTTATTAAAATGTTATTTAAATTTTGACTCTTCATCTCTCAGAAATTGATTCAAAATAATCAGATTTCTTTTCTACAGTCTGTGTTTTGTGTATTGTAGCAACACTCTGTTTACATTCAGACATTCCCCTTTGACATCACTTCCTGTTACTTCACATGTGAATATCTGAACTGTTCATCTCAGCAGAATGGTTTTTTGTTTGTTTGCAGTTTGTAACTAATGCTATCTTTCCAAAAATGCATTTATATTTATTACAAAAAATTGAAGACACAGGCACTTTAAAGCAATTTTACTGACGTTTTCTGGTTTAAAACTAATCAACTGTGAAAACTGTCTGCATGAGAAAAGAGTTACAGCAAAGAAAAAAAAGGGACAAAACCTTTTGTTAGCTCAGCCTGAAAAACAATCAAATACAGAAAATAATTTGTCAGAGTTCAGGGTCGTTAACAGGTTTTGTCTCGTGCAGCTGAAGACGAGTCAGAGGAAGAGGAGGAGAAGTCTGAGGAGGACACCAAGGAGCCCAGAGACTCGGGCTGCTTCGAGAGCTCAGAGAACCTGGAGAGTGGACGCGAGGAGCCGAAGATGGAGGAGGAGGAGTCAAACCAGGASGAGCAGGAGTCGAAGCAGACTGAGGAGTCACAGACTGAGGAGGTGCAGAAGCAGCTACAGGAGCTGACTGTGGATGAAGGACAGTGAATAAAAAATCATCAAACTTCCTTCCTCTTTGGTTTTAAGCGACTCTGAAAACAGGCATTAAAATCTGTTTTTAAAAAAAGACTGTTTCAGCTCAGAAGCTGTTCTCAGCTGCTCCTTCTTCTGACTGAACTTTGAAACGTGACGTTGATGATGTTGCTTCACTCAGGACATCGTGTTAAAACATCCTGAAGATATAACTGGATGTGAATGTGTCTCTTTTTACTTTGTCTACCAATGATTTGATGCCGTTTTCATGAATGTAGAATATTTGTTTGTCATATAATTTGAATGCAGTTGTGATGACTTTTCATGAGTCCTGTAAATAAAATAAACATGTCTGAGAAAAACAACTTATTAAATAAAAAAGGGTTGAAAGTTAAAAAATAAAGCTTGTGTCTGGAAGTTTTCATCTTGAACAGGCTTTGATACCCGAGTAACATTTGTTACTTTATTTTGAAATGTGGAAAAAGTGAATTCATGCAGGTTTTTCAACACCGACGGACAAAAATATCCACTTATCAAAAGAAAATGAGTCCCATCGCTCGAATCCATCWGTCAGCCTCCATCTTAGTTTGGGAAAAGTGATCAAAAATACTCCTTTCATGTTGAGATAATGGCTGTATCCTGAGTCACTGTTATAACATCCATAACAGTGTTTTGTGGTCCTCCTGGTGGAGTTTGATGCCGTTTTCCAGAACACAGCTAGACCAGCGCAGCTCCTTTGATTTCAACGGAGCTGCTAGGAGAGTTTGTATTTGCATCAGTGTCGAGCAGACAGTCATATGTATGGGGACCTTTACTCAGGCTATATTTAGAACACAGCCTGAGTAAAGGTCCCCTTTCCTCTAAATTTTCTCAGGATAAATGGCCATAACAGTTTTGTCAGCAGATTCAAAGTTAGCAGAAGCTAATTGGTCTGCTAAAAGTTTTTAAACTGCTTAATCTGCTTTTTGCGGATGATGTGGTCCTGTTGGCTTCATCGGAACGAGATCTGCAGCTCTCGCTGGAGCGGTTCGCGGCCAGGATGAGGCTCAGTGCCTCCAAATCCGAAGCCATGGTCTTGAGCCGGAAAAGGGTAGAGTGCCTTCTCCGGGTCAGGGGVGTCGCCCTGYCTCAAGTGGAGGAGTTTAAGTATCTGGGGATCTTGTTYACGAATGGGGGAAGAAGGGAGCGGGAGATCGACAGGCGGATTGGCGCAGCGTCTGCTGTAAAGCGGGCGCTGTACCGGTCCGTCGTGGTGAAGAGAGAGCTGAGTCAGAAAGCGAAGCTCTCGATTTACCGGTCGATCTACGTTCCTACCCTCATCTATGGTCATGAGCTTTGGGTCATGACCGAAAGAACGAGGTCCCGGATACAAGCGGCCAAAATGGGTTTCCTCCGCAGAGTGGCTGGGCTCTCCCTTAGAGATAGGGTGAGAAGCTCAGTCATCCGGGAGGGACTCAGAGTAGAGCCGCTGCTCCTCCACGTCGAGAGGAGCCAGTTGAGGTGGCTCGGGCATCTGGTAAGGATGCCTCCTGGACGCCTCCCTGGTGAGGCATTCCGGGCACATCCCACTGGGAGGAGGCCCCGAGGAAGACCCAGGACACGCTGGAGGGACTGTGTCTCTCGGCTGGCCCGGGGAACACCTTGGGGTTCCCCCGGAGGAGCTGGAAGAAGTGGCTGGGGAGAGGGAGGTCTGGGCCTCCCTTCTGAAGCTGCTGCCCCCGCGACCCGACCCCGGATAGGCGGAAGAAAATGGATGGATGGAAAGTTTTTAAACTTAGCTAATCTTAAATTTCTAAACAGTAATTCCTGGGACATCTCCAAATCAGAGTTAAAAAAGGTTATTTGTTATCAGGATGAAATTAGAACAATTAAAGTTTCATTAATTTTAACTTTTAGAGAATTTGATGGTAGCTGGCAGTCAAGTACGTAGCAGCGCAACAAGCTAATATAATAGCTGTTGCTGCATGCAGCATGATCACTTGTACTTTCTACTGAGCTACGGTTTTAACAGTCTACAAGCAACATTTTTTCCTCTTTCATAAAATATTAAAACCTGGGATCTTTCCGGGAACAGGTCGTCCAAAACAGTGACTGTCCCCGGAAATCATGGATATCTGGTCACGCTAGTTAGCCTTCAGAACAAAAGTGAGCTTTGTGTTAGCAGAACCATGTCCACCATTGGCAACTCCCGTTAAAAAATCCATAAAAGATACTTGATATTAAGACAACAATGTTTATTTATTGGACACAATCATGTAAAAAGAAGTGAAGTAAATTAAATGAAATGAAATCCATGTAATCACAGTGTTGATACCAAACAAAGTGAATATAAATAAGTATTTCACTGAAGCTGTGTACAACGTAAGAGAATGATCGGAGCATTCAGATCCGATCACGGTTTTAACACAAGATTCATAATTACAAGAGTTCAAACCTTCAGCATAAACTTAAAATGTTCATCCGTCTCGTAAAAATGTGCTTTAAAAACACAAACGCTTTCATCAAATAACCTACATTCCTGCTTCTTCACGCAAAGTTCTTCAAATACCTTTGACAAAACAAGTAGTCCAGCTTTAAAACATTTTTTTAAATATTTTTACAAGTGATTAAACTATTTTTCTAAATGGTTTTCCCAAACAGAAACACACAAAAACAATACTGCCACACTTTGGCAACATTTTGGATAATCTGTTATTTGTTTGGCATTGCACAAAATTTCCTAAATTCAGCGTTATAAATGTAAACAATTTCTTGAATAAAACTTAATAAATGAGCATTTCTTTTCTTAAAACAATTTGCATTTATCAACTTCAGTTTGTAAATTTTCTGGACTGCATTTTAAACTAAACTCAGTCTGAAAGTGTTGAAGTTTAATTAATAGTGAGCTTTTAAGAGATTAACGAGCAGCTGGGTTTGCTCTCATTAGGCAGATTTCTCAAATACTATACTGGATGTCTAAACAAGACTCACAAACACAAACTCTGTCTTGCATACAACACAACCACAAGCACAAACTCTTGCTATCCGCTAACACCTTCTAAATACTAAGAATTAGCTGGACTTCTCTTATTTCCCATTTTGGAGCACTTTAAATAAACTGAATAGTAATTATCCTTTTCTTTTCTGTGATAACAAGCCTGTCACGGTCGGCTGAGTGCCACGCAGGAGCAACCGCCAAAGCAAAGACGTGAATGACATGAGAGGAAATTTTTAATTTAGAAGAGGAGGATGGAAAAAAACAAGAGAGGTTTTCAGGAAGTTTTGCTCTGCTATGATCTGCAGGAACGCTGATCCTAACAAATCACGCTTACTTCTCTCATTCATTTTCAATCAATCGTTTCACATCAACTACTAGATAAATGTACAGTCATAGTTTTGCTTTGAAACTTCCTTAGAAAGCAGCCCTCCAGTTTTACCCCATGACAGCAAAATCCACTCACTACAGGCTGCTGTGACCACTTTAGCAAAGGRGTGATTATCTTTAGTTTGAGTTGTTTCATTTTTAATAGAAACTTACTGAAATTGAAGCATTTTAAAAGGCTTCTAAAAGTGGATGAGGGGATATTTAAATATATTTGGTTTCTTACTGGCAGTTAAATAAAAAAGATTAACACCACTGGACTTGGGTTTAGGATGCAGCTGCTAGTTAGTTAGCTTAGCACAACAAGTGGAAACAGGGAGCAAGAAAGCTAGGCTTGTTGTTTAGGGCTAAACACTTGCCAGCACCTTTAAATCTCATCAGCAAAATGAAATTACACATAAAGCATTTATTTAAGCTGGTAATTAGTTTTCTTTTGGACAGAAAGAGGCTAGCTGTCTCTGCATGTTTTCATGTTATGCTGAGCTAAGCTAAAGCTAAGTAGCTAGTTAGTTAGCTTAGCTCAAGTAAAAACGGAGCCAGTCCTCTTAATATTCAAACACTTGCCATCCACATTTAATTCTCATTAAAAGTTGTAAGTTTGTATTATGTGCATAACATTTATTTAAGCTGGTAAATTATTTTCTTTTGGCTGTGTCAGGCCGTGCATGTTTTCATGTTATACTAAGCAAAGCAACTCGTTAGCTTAGTACAAGTGAAAACACGGAGTGAGAAAATTAGGCCTCTTTTGTTTAAAYGCCTGCCACCCTTTAAATCTCAAAAACAATCTGTAACTTGTATTATGCACAACATTTATTTTAGCAGATAATTAGTTTTGTTTTTTTTTTTGGAGAGATTTTTTTTCCTCTTTGGATTACTGAGATGCATCAGGATACATCTCCATGTTTTCATGTTATGCTAAGCTAAGCAGCTAGTTAGTTAGCTTAGCACAACTAGTGAAAACAAAGCAGGGRCCTGTTTTGCTTATTTAAAGTTGAGCACTTGCTAGCACCTTTAAATCTTATTACCAATTTGTAACTTTTAAAAACACATTCATTCAAGCTGGTAAATGGTTTTACTTTGAACAAAAAGAGCCCTAGCTATGCTCGGCTAACCCAATCGACTTCTTGTAAAACGTAAAGAGCAAAAGAGTGGCACCAATCCTTCAACTGTCAGTAAAAAAAAAACTTGTTATACTTTTTTAACAGAAAGTCACATCAGTATTTTAATTATCAAATGTTAGATTAGCTTTGTTTTCCTTTGTTTAACACTGTCAGAAGAGCTTTTCTTTTGTTTGGTCTTGAGCCGCTAAAGTTAGCGCAACTTTTCAGTAAGGCACTGTTACCATGAGTGTCCTACACTCATCAGGCCTTTTTCCTTCATTCTCAGTCAGAGGATCAACGTCACCTGAAGATCTATTTTAAACAGAGCGCCAACATCATCCTTGCTTTTATAAAAAATAAAATAAAATGGAAAGACAACAGTTACTACAGAGGAATTTGATTAAAAAAAAGATGCACACAAGTTAGAACAGTACTGAATGCAGCAACATCAGAAGACAAAAGATTTTGCATGGAAGGAGTTCGATCAGCAAAGGATTTACACGCTCTCCTCCTGCCTGGACATCGCGTGTACTTACAGAGGTTATACTTGTTTATACCCACTTTTTACAAAGCTGCTTGTCCAGCCTTCATGTGGTTTGCATAGGGTATGTAAAGTATGTACAACAATGAATGTATTTACACACATCCAGGAATCTTACCCTTCAGAATGCTTTATCTAAGCTGGCCTCCTGCAATAAATGTCATATAGTGTCAAATGTACTGACGGTCAGTGCAAAGTCTCCTGGCATCATTTCCTCTGTTTCTTCTCCGTGCAGTCAGTGTTCAGGAGACTGGAAACTGCTGACTTTCCATTTTAACACCACTCCTCCTCCACCWGGAGTTAAATGTCAGTCAAACAGCTCTGCAGTGGCTGCTGGGAGGAGGAGTTTGGAGGAGCGCCAGCAGAGGCTCCAATCTCAACTCACCACAATCAGACTTTGATTATCAATGTCTCAGCTCGTGACGAGACGCTGGAAGAGCAGCCTCTGACCCGGAGCCGCCCACCTCCTGCACCTAATGGGTCTTGGCGATGGACGTCTCCGCGTCGGTCTCGGGCGAAGCCAAAGGTGGAAGCTTCGGCGACGGTGGGTGCTCCTCTTTAGGGGAGGGGCTCTTCTCCCTGGAGGAGGGGCTCTTCTCTGAGGCGAAAGCGATGCTCGGTTTGACTTCTTCAGGCGTGTGCTCGTTAGGGATGAGTGGAGCGGTGGTTTTCTGGGGAGCAAAGAGTACGATTTATTTAGAGAGAGTTGTATCATTAGACATTATCTGATAAGCATTTACTTCAACTGTATAAACAAGACTGTGAAAACACTGTAGACTGTTTAGTTTTTATACCTTTAAAATATATCGTCACGTTGTTTATCCCGCAAAGACTTCTGGGTAATTGATGACATGGTGTGAGCTCTATCYAGCTAGAATACTAATTTAGGGTAATATCTGACGTTCAGCCATTTTRAATGATACGTTGACAGAGGATTATGTAGAAATGACTCAGCTTGAAACTGAAAATAATGCAGGACAACAGAGCTGCTTCATGGAAGGTGAGCCTCGACTTTAGCCTTTTAGCTTTCATGTTAGCTCCCAAGCTAATACATTTATGAGACATATGGGGTTAGCTTCTGAGCTAATATTAGAACAGGAGCTAACACCACATATATGGCAATAGCCAATAATATTAGCTAATAATATCAAGCTTTCACATTAGCGCTCGAGTTAACATATGGTGATAAATGGCATTAGCTCCCAAGGTAATATATTTATAACGATATATGGTGTTAGCTTCTGAGCTCAGGAGCTAACCCCACATATTAGAAATATATACAGTACATGTGGTGATAGCTCCCAAGCTAATATTAGCCAAATAATAATTAGCAGTTTGGAAACTTTATTAGAATAGAGAAATAACAACATAGTAAAGCCAAGAGTGCAAGTAGTCACCTTTTTGCAAACTTCTGATTTTTTTTAATTGACCTACAATAATTTTAAACCACTAAAAAGTAAAACAAACATACATTTTGAGAGAATTAGTTATTTTCAGTAAAATTAAAAAGGTACTTATGAAGTCAGCCTAACGTTTAAAGTGCGTACACAAAGCGAGTGCTTTGTGTATGTCGAATGTGGACCCACATTTCTTTTAAACRGCACTAATTTATACAGCCAAGATGCCCATTTTAGGTTAGATTTTACAATTTTAAAGAGTACCTTTAATGAATAAAAGAATTAAACAGACTTTTATCTCACAGTCAACATCTACTTCTCTCCAACACGGTTAATGTTTGTCCTGCATTATTGCAGTGTGCAGAGGTGTGCGTGTCTGTGTGGCCTTGTTTTTCCTACATCGTGGGGACAATTTTCCCAAAAAAAAAGAGCCTCATGGGGACAGAATGTGCATCGTGGAGACCAATGCCCGGTCCCCACAGGTCCAAATGCAAATTACGGGTTGGGGACCGAGGTGTGAATTGAGTTTACGTAAGTTTTAGGGTAAATGGTCAGGGTTAGGATATAAAATTTCCAAAAAATAAATGGAAGTCAATGCATGGTCCGTATGGGGTTGAAGAACAAACACGTTTGTGTGTGTGTGTGTGTGTGTGTGTGTGTGTGTGTAGTTACGGCCTTGGAGACGTTTGGTTTAGGACCAAGGTGTAAATTGAGCTTAGGTTAGTTTTAGGGCCAGGTAGGTACCTGTGAGATTAGCCTTAGGGTTTGTGGTCAGGGTTAGGCTGTAGAAATGTAATGGAAGTCAATGCATGGTCCGTATGGGGTTGAAGAAC